ATGATGTGCAACATCTGCTGTAATCTAAAACCCGGTGGGCCGAGCTCTCCTTGGAATAGCAGGGCTGATCCCGGTTCCAGGAGGCCAGCACTTGGCACCACCTGTGCCAGACAGGGCAGCTGCCATGCCAAAGGAATACATCCACCTAGATGGACTTCAGCTCAATTTTCAGACCAAATTTTCCATTCCCCACCTGAATGAAAACCCCTCGTCACAGGACAGGGGAGCACCTGCAGCAGCCTCATCACCCTGCCCTGCTCGTAGCTCCCGTCTGAGAAGCTTTTGCCATCACGGGCACTGATAGCCAGGGTGACAGGGCAGCCAAGGGTGACACAGAGTGTGCCAGGCTGGCCAGCAGGAGTCTGGAAACCTCTCCAGAGCCTGGTGAAAACTGAACTGGCTCAGCCCAAAGAGCACTTGGGAGAGAGTCTGCTTGAAACAACGTCCTGCAGCTCTGTGCACAGCCAGGGAGAAACACAGGTTCATGCAGAAAGGGGCTGAACACAGAAACCTACCAAAGTCCTTGACTTTAGGGAAGTCTGAAGGGATGAGGCTCCTAACAGATGTTTGAGTTAAATACCTACAGTAAAATTAGCAAAATATGTGTATATTCCCCCCCTCAGAGGTTCTTGAAGAGCAGTGTGAGAGCTGGGCTGGAGGGGATGTTTTGATGTTACTATCAGTAGTGTTTTCCCGGTGGGTTATGCGGGGCTGACCATAAACCCATGAGAATTAATTAACTAATTGTCCTGTTAATTTGAGCCTAAGAGTCTGCAACGCTGCAGAGGGCAGCCAGGGGCACCTGCGTTTCAGGCTCCCAACACAGCAGAGGGCAGCAGTGCTGTACAGACTGACGCCCTTCCATGTTCCTAACCAGGGAGTTACCATCATTTTAAGGGACAGTGACCGGAGTGATGGAGCAATCACTTCTAAGAGAGATTCCCCAAGGACTATCAGCAGCAGAAGTGCTGCTGTAGCTCAGACTCTCCATGTCTCCCACTAGCAGAACAGAAAGATTCACAGAAACAAAAAGACATTTTTTTCACATTTACCATCAAAGTAGAAACATAAGTAGGGCTTGACTCCCCACTCAGCTACAACTTCTGCAAGAGCTCCTTTCTTTACACTGACTGTGGCACATTTCCACAGCTTTCATGGGAAGACACAGTCCCCTGCAATTCCATTACAAATTACCCAGTGACTCCCAACAAAGCACAGCTCCATAGCTGGAGTGAATCAGGGCACAGCACCCTAGCTTAGAGGAAATTTCTGATACACACCAGATACTTCAGCTGACAGCAGAACTTGGAAGCTTTTTAGAGAAGGACTAATCTGAAGCCAACATGCATCCTGATGGAAAGAGATGATGCTTGTTCAGTAATTATAAACCCAGCACACGGAGACAAGGGCTGTTGAGTTATATGACTGACTCAACCACCCACACAGGCAAATCACCTGCCCTTTCTGTGCCTTTGTTTCCTCAGCTGTAATTTATAATTGCTTGATGATACTCAGGTTCAGAGTGTTAGAAAAAGATTCCTAGAAAAGTGATCATTATTGACCTAACATCGCTCTCAGGAAAAGTAATGAGAGTCTGAGGAAAACACAACATAGGAGGTGGCTTTTCAAAGTAAAGTCAAATCTATACTTTTTCTATCTAAAAGCTCATTTTTTTTTTGCCATTTACAATGGCTGATCTCATAAAAGATTCTCTCCCTTAGGTCTCTTTAGACCACCATGGCTACAACAGTGCTACTTTTACAGTAGTAAAACTGTAACTGGACACTGGTGCCACAGAAATCAACAACAGGATATGCATTACTAGCTGAAAATGTAGCTCAGGGCTTGTAACAATTGAATTTGACACATAAGTTACTGGAGAAAGAACCAAAGCTAGTGTGGTGAGATTTTCTCAAGCCCTCCGCATTAGCCTGACTTCAGTACTCAAATGAGAAACTGTGTCAGGGAAAGCAACACACAGCTAAAAATACTAGTAGTGAATTCATCCGCAGAATCAATACAGGACAGATGCTGTGGTATCTCTTTGGAGGGGAGCCATGGAGGGATATTTCAAGCACAGGAAGTCCATAAGAAACTTCAGAAGTGAATATCCATGTCCCTGAGCAATGTCTCATCTGTCTGTATGACTGAAATGTCCAGCTGTAGGATTTTAGGCTCTGGGGTGACATGAATACTGCCACAACTTCAGGAACTGCTGCTGTCCTCCCAGCTGTACTATTCTGCAGAGATGGTTGTCAAACTAAATTTGTGAGGCAGAGATTCCTCTTTATCCACATGCCCTGGGACAAGCAACCTATTTTGATCAACTGATGACTTAACCATAACCTTGTGCATTTACTGTTTCACCAGCTGGCAGTCCTTACCTCACTGAGGAACACACAGTACAACATGATTGAAGCCTGTAAGTTGGGCAAAATGTGAGGTCTCTGGCCTGCAGCCTGAACAGGCAGTGAGGCTCAAAACAAAAAGCAAGTTTTCCTTGCATATGTGTTGGGGTGCCTCTCCAGGCCTGGAAGGATGAGGGAAGGTCTTGAGTTATAGTGACTTAATAGTTCCTGTTTTGCTATTTCTGCGTCAGTGAGGGTCTGGCACTTGGGAAACCTTTAGGAGTGGTGATCTGTCCTCCCACCATTCCCTGCAGCTAGAGTGAAGATGTACCACTAGTGAAGGAGCACTCCCCAGGGCCACACTCTCTCAACAGTGACCTGGAGGTTTCATGAAACCCTCTGGAGAAACAGAAAGGACCATGGGCTTTCCCTTCCCATATTGACCTACTGCTACTTCCTGGCAGCATTCAATAGTTAAGATCAAGCTAGAAATTACTTTGACCAATGTAATCCTGCAGAAAGGAAATCTGTTTAGGTATTTAGGTAAATATTTTGCTTTCTCTCTCCCTCTTCTAGTCTAATTCAGTAGAAGATACATTTTATTTCTTTGGCAATGCTGGGCTACTTTGCTGAGTGTTGAAGGAGTTCACCCTGCTGTACCTGTACATGGGGCATACAAGAAACTATGGACAATCTGTTCAGCCCACCATGACATGTGAATAGCAACAAGGCTACTTCCACCTTCTGGGCACACAGAATGGGACTGGGGATACAAGGCATAAGTCTCTCACCACTCAGTGTCAGGGGGGATTTGTTTCACTGATGACTCTTACCTGTGTCCCCTAACCCACAGACAGCTGTGAACAGCTTTGAGATCATGGAATTTAAAAATAATCCAGTCATGGCAGAAGATTAAAGGCAGTTTTTAAATGGATTATCTTCATTTTGTTACCACCATCAGAGGCTGATTAATAGCAAGTTCACTTACTAATCCAGCTTGGTTCTATTGTGTCTTAAACTCAAGCAATGCAAACAGTTCACTCATTTTAATGCTGCCTTCTTGTTATGACCTTTAGGGCACACATTCATAGAAAGGATTTCTGCAGAATGGTCATGTCCAACCGGGTTTTGAAGGCTGGAAGCCATCTGTCACACACCCCATTTATGGGCACCATAAGGATATGATCACCACAGTGCTCAGTTCCTGCTAAAAGGCAGCTCAAGTGCTCCTTGTTTCTGTCCCAAAGGCACATTTGGAGAGCCTCTTCCACCAGAAACCACTCAGAGCCACTGCACTTGACAGCAAGCAGGGAAACACCATCCATCCATCTTTCAAGTAAGGAGTCATCAGCATTTGCATCCCATGAAGACTGCTTTCAATATTGCCACTGGATAAAATTTAATGTTCTTCTTTTTTTCTGGTTGGTGAACAGAAGCAGTTCAAGAAATGAGCAGGGTGCAGAAAGAAACATCACAGCTCTGTCAACATACGTTACTATGACTGTCTTGCTTCTTCACCCTTCTCATTGTGACCCAGCTCCAGCTGCCAGTAACACAGCAATGACTACAATCTATTTCACATCAGAGAAGGAAGCAAGACAGTTGCAAGTCATTGATATTGACTGTTGGTCTCAATGGGAACACTTTGTATTTTTTCACGTACATTCAAAGAGGAAAGAAACAATAGTTGCCATTTCAGTGTTCTAATTTCTCCCAAACTAGCTGGCAAGGAAATAAGTACTGTGGGCAAGAGGTAAAAAATGTAGAGCCCCCTTCACTTCCATGTAGTGTAGGATCCCTCCTCCAGTGTTTCATAAAATACCGGAATTTACATTTAGTACAACTCCTTGGTATAGCTGAGGAGCTGCCTGACACTTATCAAGGCTTTAATAAAGCAATCATTTGCCTTCTGCCTGATACACTTATTCATTTTGAAGTATTATTCTAGTTCTCACTCCACTTGTCTATATCTGACTAACTGCAGCAGCACCACACACACTTCCAAGCTCTATGTGCAGACACTCAATATTCCTTTTCACATTTATTTCTAGAATAACATCTATAATCGTTCTAAGCTTTCTCTTGTGATACATGCTTGGATGCCTTCTGGGCTTCTATTCAAAGTGACCAATGTATCAGGAGACCCATTGAGGGGAGTGCTGGAGTCCTGTTCAACAACAGGACAGGAATCACTCAAGCAAAAGAAATGTGGATTTTGCTGTCTCTGCAAAGTTAACAATCTGTTTGGAGAATTCCTTGCCTACTTAATCTTTAGTCTAATTCCTAGCAAAGCCATTGCCAGCTGTGAGTTTAAAAGGGTGGCAGCTGCTGTGCTCATGCTACTTAACGTAGAAGCACTTGTCCAAATTTATTTCAGAATGCTGGCCAAAACAGAAGCCTAAACTTGAGTCCTGCTAACTCACATAGAATTGGAACTGTCAGCCTGAAACCCAGGGTCAGCTCTTCTTGCAGTTCTGTGTTCTCCACTTGCCTCATTTCTCACCCAACCTTACACGTATGACACTGGAGGAAAGGGCAGAAGGCAGCAATTTACTCCTCACATGCGGGAGAGGTGAGCGGGAATTGCAGGGGGGATGACCATGTATGTAAGGCAATCTTTGCTAAGTGCTCACAGTGCTGCTGAGATGAACGATGGGGCTGCAGTCACAGTCTCGTACTGCCACCTACTGTGTGGAGACCCCGCTCCTGGCGCCAGTGCCACCTCGGTGACATTGCTGCAGAGGGAAGCTGGGGGTGAGCCAGCAACCTCTATCCCTTTCTTCCTCAGGCACTGCTCTCTCTTTTCCTGGGCAAGATTTTGCTGTACAGCCTTTTGAGAGTCCCCTCAAACACTTTGCCCAACTACTTTGTCCAGAAAGAAAACTTAGCTTCTCCACTTTATGCTTTGGGGGCAATTGATGGGGTGACAGTGAGAGGACACTTTATTGCAGCTAAATCCAACCATTGAAAACAGAGGAATCCACACTAGAAGGGATGAAGGATTTGAGCTATAATGGGGGGGGAAATGCCTCTGCATTCTAAAGCATCTAACAGCAGCTTTTCACTCCTAGCACGTCAGAGAAGGAATAGATATACAGGAGAGTTTGTTCTGTTAATAAACTAATCATAATAATCATAATCATAGCTGCCACTTGGCCATCTATGCAGACAACTGCTAGGTGACCAACACCCATATGGTAGAGAAGCTCCATACCCAATTAGACTGATTTAAATCTCTCCATTTCAACAAGGTAAAAAATTATCATATGCCAGAAACGTGTCCTGCCCAAGTATGGAGATTTAATCATTCCAATGCATCAGGAAATCACACGTGGAGCCAATAATTTGCTCAACTATGCCAGCTCAGTGTCAAGAACCAGACCTTCCATAAACATAAAGGGTGCAGAAGGGATGTTTTCATGTCTGCATCTCAAAGTGCTATTTAGGGATCATTGATATCCAACAGAACAAATAATTTGTATGTGTATACACACACTTATTCTTAAAACAGATGGAGGCTTTGGCATTTCTAGCCTGAGAAGACAAACAAGAAACCTTAGGCTAGTTTTCAGAGGTTCTGTGGAAAAAAAAACAAAACAAAAAAACAAAAAAAAACCAAACATGCTGCTTTGTACTGAACTGAAATCCCACTCAGTTTACTGACATTTTATTGACACCATTAAATATATATATTTAAAAAGCACCAACAGCAATTCAACAACACTGTGCTAGGACTAATAAATATCAATTATCCCCCCCTCCTCCAAAACAGTCTAAAAATGTGCAACAGGACCCAGATTCCTGCCACCACATCAGAAAACCTGAATTTTCTGCCATGAGCCTGCTGGTTCAAAATAATTCAGCTGAAAGAGTGGGATTTAAACAGAAGCATTTCACAAGCAGAGAAGGTGATATAAACACAGGTCACATAATCATCTTGACGTTAAATGAACATAAATAACAGGGCTCAAACTCAAAGCTAGAAAGTTACAGCTGTAATGAGCATGTGTCTATCTACCTGACATAATCAATAGCCCAGTGTTTTCTTTAAAAGTAGAAAAACAGAGCATGAAGTAGGTACCTGAGCTTTAAAGTTCCCAACTGTTACTCTCTGCTGCCTTTTAACAGACACAACTTCAGCTCTGTAAAAGCTGGATCTGCCAGGCCCAGATTAAAGACAGAACTGTAAGCAAAGCAGGCATGCAGGTACTGACAACATCTTCATGGATATCTGAACCAGTATTTTGGAAGAGGATCATACTTCAAGTTAAAAATATGCTTTCTAATGGGAATGCTACATTGTGGTTTTGTTTCTTAAGATAAAAAGTCACAGGTTTGGGGACAGATCCTGCAGCTTCAGGAATATCAATGAGTAGAAATAGGACCGTGGAACCCAATCACTTCTCCTGGGCATGCCTGAGATTGTAGTCTCTCCCTGTGCTGTTGTATTCCCTTCTTGCCTTACCTCTGTCCTGCATTCTCTGCAGACAAAAAAAAAAACCAAACAAAAAGGGCTCATCCTCCAGCCTGGCATTCCAGACCTAGAGAAAAAAGAAACACAAATCTCTAGTGTCATGAAGGAGCTTGCAGATGTGCAGCAAAAACCAGCTTCTTTATGAGGCTACACCTTGAGAGAGATGCAGATCCATTCATGCTTGCAAAGAAAGGAAAACTCTGCTTCATGCAAAAGCCTGATTGTGAACCATCCAGGCTGCATTTTGCTGCAGGGATGGAGCAACTTCACATGTCCACGGTGAAAGAAACAGATGGTGAAAGAAGGGTAGACAGATGAATGAGTAAATCTCAAGGATCTGAGCAGTTCCTTAAAGGGCGTGTTTGTTTTATGCCAGCCACACAGACAATAATATATTCACAACACAATGTAGTCCAATGGTTTAGGGTTCATTTTCAGAAGATAATATCCACAGCCACCCAACCCACCACCCTGTGGAGTAGCTAATAAGCCAGTTGTCTTTGGAACTTGCTTGCTTCTTCCACCTCCAGAAAATATATGAATTTATATTACTTAGTAGAGGAAAGTAGTGCAAAACTTGCTCATCTTTTGAACTGGCAATCAGTTTTTGCTTGTGCTTGTCAGACTTAAGAACACGCACACGTGTTCCCAGTAACAGTTTTCTAAGCTAACTCCAGTTGCAATAACTATGTCCTACAGATTCTCTTGTGAGGTGGCATTTCACCTATTTCTGGTCTAAGTTCTTGGATGCTCCAAGGGAATGCCTATTTTCTAGCTGTATTTGAGAGGAATTGCAGTTTCTGCACAAGTAGCACATAAGAGCACTCCTCTTGGAACACATGCAAAGACAGAAGAGAGAACAATCTTGTTGACATAAATAATTATTTCAAGTGCATTATAAAATGCTACATAAAACACAAGTTCCCACAGAACAGGACAAGGCTGCCTTTTATTTCCTTTCAATTTAGTGTTAAGTCACTATCAGATTTGTGTCAAGAATATGCAAACTATGGAAAGCAGAAAAATTCTGGCTCTGTTGAAAGAAGTTATTTGTTGATATAGAACAAATTCTTTCAAATGGTAACTTTGGAGATGAAGAGCCTGAGAGAAAGAAAAAAAAAAACAGAATGAATTTCTCCATTCCTCAGAAAAACATGGCTAAATTGCCTTATGTTGAGTGGCTATAAAAGTGTGTGAGGACACAGTACCCTACAACAAGGCGTATCTCACAAGATGTCCAGCTGCTTTTTTGCCCATAGTTTTGTTTCATCTTAAAGCCAACATGTAGAAAGTAAGAAGAACATCAAAGACTTAAAGTAGGTTCAAATCTTAGTGTCTGTGATAAGATAATCAGTCTCAGAACAGCAAATCCCCAAAATCCGTACCTTTTGGGTTTGGGTCCTGTAAGTCTGGTTTTGGTAGGGGGAGTGTAGAAGTCCACACCAAAGGTTTGCAAATGATTCATTTCAAGTTTGTGCAGCATCTCTCACCAAACTAACAAAACACTGAAACGCCACTGCTTCACACCAAATGCCCTTAGAACAATCCACTGGCACCCCCCACCTTCCTCAAAAATAATATACAAGCTTTGTGTGTTGTTGCAGCTTTATGGAAGTAAACACAATTAGGCTTCATGCTCAAATGAGCAGGATGCTAATGAGAAGTGCTGAATCCACTGTTCCCCAGGAATTCAGGGCCATCAGCAGTCTGAGATCAGACATGCTAGTTTATTCAGCTTTCACAGATTCCTGATAAGAAATAAGCACAGCACAGCCACGCTGAGTCTGTACTACACACACACAGACAGATTCCTCCCTTTCCTCCCCTCCAGTGCTATAAGCCAAGCTGATTTTGCTTCACAACTTGGAAAGCTGCTTATTCCACCTTCCCCTCCCTCTTTGGGATTTTATGAATGCCTGGGGGCTGGATTTTAAAAAGAAATAAATAAATAATGCCCAGAACATCCTTCTACACGTTAGAGTCGACAGTGAGCCTTTTTGAGGGAACCATATGTGTGAAAGCTTCTCGGTTATGAGACTGCAAATGCAAGACGAGCAACCCGATGTTTGCAGAGTGCTCGGATGGATCCTGGCTGGATGCAGGATCCCACACCCAGGGAGCAGGGCAGCACACAGAGGATCCCGCGGGAGGAGCGTGGTGCTGCTCCCCTCTGTCCAGGGTGTTTCTGTCACCGCCTGCCGGTGCTGCTGGTGTGCACTGAGAGACAAGGTTGAGCTACAGGTTCTCGCACAGCACAAGTCCATCCCTAACATCAATGACACCAATGGACTCCTTCCCAAGGCAGGCACAGCCAGCTGGACATTTGCTACCCAGAAAATAGTTTGTTTCTTGCAAGGGCAGAAGCAGCAGCTCTGCCATCCTCCCTCCCAGCAGAAACAGGGGCTAACCTGCAGTTTCTAAGAGTAATTACTTTTTCTGCATCCTGTCAAGTAACCACTCAGGAGCAGCTTACACCCCTGGTCATGCATCTCACCCCCAACCAGAAAGGAACATTTTAAGAGATGCTGACACCTCCAGGGCCTCATTCCATCTCCTCATGTCCCCTCAAACTGTCCAAGTAACACCTGATACACAGAGGGCTGCTTATGATGACACTGAGCAACTATATGCAACACCCAAAGCAGAAAGAGGGCTGTTCCAGCATGGTTCAGATAGGAAAAGACAAAACCAGGGAGCGCAGGAAGGAGAGAGCAAGTAAAAAACAATATATATAATTAAGATTAAAAAAAAAATAAAAATCAAACACCACCAAAATAAATAAAATGTGGAAAAGGAGAACATGCTTCTTCTTCTAATCTTACAAGAAAGGGTCAGTTTGTTTGTAAAGAAGAAAAGTGCTACTAGGAATTGAAATGAGGATGGTGTGGCAAGCAGCTTGCTAAGAGATAAGGGCAGGACATGTGGAGAAAATGCAGCTGAAAGGACAGAATGCAGTGAGGAGCTGCAGGCAGCCTTACAGGAGCTGAGGCAGTGCTGAACAAGGAGAAACTCTGCAAGCAAAGGTCTGGTTTCAGGCATCTGAAGGGAAGAGATGACGTGAAAAAGCAGCTTCCAGAGTAACAGCCTGAACAGACTCAGCATTTATATCATTTTACCTTTCAGTCAGAAAATACAAAGCAGCATTGAAGTACCTACATAGTGTTGTATTTCTAAAACTGATCACTCAGGATTCCTATCCCAGAGCCCCAGAAGTTCAGCTTAGCCAGTGCCCATCATATTTTACAGGCCAAGTTTTCAAGAGGCCAAGATATCTTGATGTGCTTTTGTACTGGCAGTTACAAGGAGATACATAGAACCAGGTCTATCAGCTCTTCAGGAACACTTCATGTTATGAGAATCTCAAAATAAAAATACTCCTGATCTCCTGAAAGTGCTCAACATGTACAGCATTGGAAACCCTTGATGGGTGAGCAAGTGAGTCTTGTAACTGTAGTGTAGGACATGAGCAAGAAGAATCGGAGAAGAATTAATGCACTTAGGGGGAAAATGTGCTCTCACACAGGCACTACTTCCAAATAAAAGGTGAGAATCCATCAGAAACAACCCTGGGCTGGGTCTGGGCTGGTTTCTCTACTCAGTGTTGTCACTTAATGAGGTATGAACAGGCAACAATGCATGATTTATTGAAGCGAGATTTAATTAGAACAGCACAGATGTTTTCATTCCTTTGCCCTATTTTTCAGTAATGCTCATTTCTCTTTTTCCAGCACAGATTAAAATAGTAAACCTTATGGCTTTAGTATGACCTGCACTCTTCTGTATCTGTTGTCTCCCACCATTTCCCCTTCTTCTTGTAAAAAGCCAAAGGCAAGACACGAGGGCAAGAAATTGCTCTTTTTGAATTGCTTACTTGAAGTTCCCTGTAATGCAGGTGTAGCTTACTTAGCAACAGAGTATCTCTGTCAGCTTTACGATTCTGTTTCCATGAACTATTTCAAATATGGGCCTGACCCAGCTTCCCAAACACAAAAGCAGTAAGTTTCAAAAATCAAAAGAACTGTATCTGAAGCTTCTATCAGCTGTGACATTGCCAAGCAACAACATTGGAGCACCTTATATTTTTCCACTTTAACAAAGACAAGTGGAAGGCAGCTTCCTCTTGCAACTCCACATAATTATCATCTTCAGAATCACTTTGAATGGAACCCACCAGACAGCCCTTTTTCTTCATGGGGATGATAAAGGATGCAATGAGCTAGACAGGACAAGTAAAACAGTGAACTGTGCTCCTCAACAGCCACCTGTGCTCATTTCTGAGGCTCAAGCCCACATAGGTGGCTTTGTATTTTAGTATTATGGACCATGTTGTTATGGTCCTGCAAAGCTATGGCTCATTAACTTGCACCTCCCTCAGCACAGATCCATGCAGGCAGAGGGCCAAGGGCAGCAGGGCAGCCTCAGCACTTCATCCCACGTGCACAGCTTCAACAGGGTAGCCCAGAGGGCCATGGCCGTCTAATGGGCTAACTAAACCCAGCCTAGTGTTGAAGGGCACGGCTGCTTCCAGATCCAGAGAACACTTCAGGTCTCCTCTCCCTGGCACTCTAAATACCAACTAAGGCAGGGAAGGGATTTGTTTGGTTTTGCTGTTGATACCAAATTTCAACAATGTACTTCATTTAGCCCCAAACCCAGCTCTGGGCAGCTGTGCAACCTGCTGACCCTTATCCGGTTTCTGGCCACAGTGGCCATTCCCCAGCCCCCAGGACACACATGGCCATTTCCAGTCGGGGGAACATAAAGAATTCAGCCTCCACCTGCCAGGAACCCTCATTTTCACACACAGCCAGGGAAGCTTCAGCCACCCCCAGGCTCAGCCCGGCTCACTCGGGGGCTGCCCTGGGCTCATGGCAAGAGGATCTGCAGCAGGAGGGACCTGCTCCTGCAGGCAGCTCCACACCAAGGACAACAGAACCAAGTGCAAGGTCCTGAACGCGGGTCAATCCTGCACCTTGGCGACCCCAAGCACAGGTTGATTGGAGAACAGGTTGAGAACAGCCCTGAGACAAAAGACCAGAGAACCCCTCCTAGGAAGACACACTGAGGTGCTGGAGCTTGCTCAGCCTGGAGCTGACTCCAGGGAGAACTTAGGGCAGCTTCCCAGCCCCCGGAGAGGCCGCAGGGCGGCTGGGAATGACTTAACGAGGACCTGGGAAGCGCTGGGAAGCGCTGGGAGCGGCCGGACCCGGCGCGCCTGGCGCCCCCCGGCGGCCCCGCGCGGCACTGCAGCCCCCGCCCCAGCCC